GTGTAAAAATCTCCCACTCCCAAAGCTATGGAGGATTGGAAAGGCTATTAGTGCACTGGACATGTTGTGTAACAAATTTTATTTCTCCTAGCAAATTATAAAAGTGTTGGTATACGATGAGGTGTGTACTGAGGGCATGCTTCACATGGGCTCCTTTTAGGACATGCCATATCTTTTCTTTTAATCTCAGTAAATGGTAAGGTCAGCATGTCCGTGCTGGCTTTTACAGGTAGGAATAAATTGGTAGTCAGTCGTCTGGAGATTTCCAAAGTATTTTTATATAAAGAACATGACCTTGCACGTGTTGCTTAATCTGTGAGAACAGCAAATGAGAGGAAAGGCAGCGGGAGAGCCTTATAGCAACAACTAGCTGCATCCTGCTTTTACAAAGCTGGTTTACTTCCGTACATAATGGAAGCAGTTTCTTCTATTGAATATGCCAGAGAGGAAAACAGAAAAAAAAACCAAAACACATTCTGTTGCTTTGTTTTAATCTGTATCTTCTAACTTCCACTATTCTATAGCTGTTCCTCCTGTTATATAATCTGTTTTGCTTAAAGATGGTAACAACTAGTGATAAAGACTAAAGGGTCAAAAAAAAAATCCCAAAATGTAGGATACATTTTACATTAAGAGCTTTAGAGGAAAATTATATGAGCGTATCTGTTGCGGACTACTGATGCCTCAATCTTCCAGCCATTCCTGCAGATTTGAGAAAGGTGAAGGTCTGGCTTTCCTTTACAAGATTCTGACCCATGTTCACTCTCAGCGGCTCACCTTGTTCCAGGTGTCTTGGTCAGTCCGCAGCTCCTGCCGCTCTCAAGCTTCGGTCTGTAGTCCCAGTGGTTCCTGTTCCGACGAATCACGTCGGGGTCACCAATTGTTGCGGACTACTGATGCCTCAATCTTCGGGGATCACAACCCAGAAGGTCGTTGTGATCTTCCTCGTATATCAGAAGGCTCTAACACCCTCCAAAGGTCCTTGTCACAACCAAAGGTTTCTAACAGAGAGCTTCAAGACGCTGCTCTCCAGGGGCTCCTATCACTCCAGTCTCCAGGAGGGAACTGCCCCACTCCCTCCTGGGAGTGCCCCACCTTTAAACCTCCATGAGTCACGTGGTTTCCGGTTGACCAACGTGACTCACAGCACCTGTCCTAACAAGGCACAGGTGCTTTCTATTGTAGTAGCCAGGAACTCCCCTGATATGTATCCTCAAAGTTTTCAAACAAAACTGCTTGAGTAATGTTAGGTACAAACTGGACTTTGAATCAATAGTTGCTGGAAAAAGTTAAATTTTACTTACTGCTATAAACAACGAAAACCTTAATTTCTGATAATGTGAAAATCTATCTGTCTCCTTTGTTGCTACATTATAAAGACAGGCAACAGTTTATGTTTTTACAAAAGTATTTAATGTTCTAAATACTTTACCATAGTTTGGAAAATAAAGTGCTAGACTTGGTCCATAATAAAGTTCTGCCAGTGCCAGGAATTCACTATCTAGACTTCTAGCGATGGATAATACAGCTATTGCAATTAATGTGAGGCCTATTGTCCTCACTGAGTTTTGCCTACTCTTTTTTTCCTCCGTTGAGTCATTATGGCTATAGGAATGATTCACAATAATAAAGCAGTATGTTACAACTAGAAATAGTGATCTCATCACGGCTCTTAAGGTACCAGGAAACTTTCCTGTTTGTTTTTCCTTGGCATCAGTTTTCCCCCATTGTCTGACAATAAGCAATTAAATGTTTTGATAGTGCACCGAGCAGGTGTCTGAAATCAAAAGAAATTCACAGCCAAAAGGGCGTCACTTTCCCAACTGGATACATTTCACTGTGATCTCTGACCTCCATATTGGTGTCCTTTTGTTACAGGCACTGCGTGTATTGAGCTGTGATTACAAGATGGAAAATGAAACTAGAATGGTGGTTTGTGATCTTGGGAACCCCATGGCGGCTGGCGCAAACGTAAGAGAAAATCAGATGCATTTGCTGATTTTTATCTAATTGAATTTTAAAGGGGAGCAAATGGAAATCTATTCAATTAGCAGAATGTGTCCCAATAAGCAGCACGTAAGCCAAATTGTTTACTTGAAGAGGAAATTGTTAGTGTAATAAGAGGCAGAACTGTGCTTCTGAAAAACTGTCAATTTGTTGTTCTAAAAGATTAATGATGCTAGAGCCTGTGTTTTTTTTCACTTACTGTAAAGAAAATGAGTGAGTCAGTTTAAATAACAGAAGTTGCACCAGTATAATGAGACGAGAATCCTAATCCATAACATGATCTGTTTATTTCTCCTTTAGTATTCTTTCTACTTAAGATATGCATAGTTAATGACAGCTTCTTTAATTTGATTCTCATCTTGAGTGCATAAGGGTTGTCTTATCAGTTTATATCATGATTTATCTTCGTAAAAATGTTGTTGGAATCAAGTTTTCCTTCAAGTTATCAATGTCATTCTAAAACAGCTATTCATAAATCACAGTACACATTAGATGGAACATTGGTAATCTTGTTTACAGACAAAAGTGGAATTGAATGATGCCTGACAATAGACAGCAGATAAGGATTAAACATAGGTTTAGAGATAAAAAAAGTGCCACCCGTTCCACGATTGTCATCACTTATCCCTATTTCATGACAAAACAGTTCCAGGCAACCCCAGGAATATTTGGCCATTGCAGAGGAATTCTAGCACTGGTCATAAATTCATAAATGCTGTGAATATTTAACTAAAACCAAACAAACCAAGCTTTTATACCTAGGTTAAAAGCTGTCCTAATAAAATGAAGCAGTTAATAGCATGAACACACATGAGGAATAAACAACAGCTTTTAATTGAAAACTATCACTATTTGAATTTCATATTGGACCTGCAGCTTTGCAAAGAAACCAGAGCAAATCTTCTTAGTATTTTCAAAATTCCTATTAAGGTTTTTCCTATCGAATATCAATATTTCACTCTTCAGACTCTCTATGGAGAGGTGTTTTCCTGGCCTCTTATGATCTTGAAAGAGTTCCTGTCTGACCCTTGAAAAAAGAACAAACTGGGTCATGCAATAGGAGACTGGGACTAGAATAAGCTCGTTTGGATCATAGGGTTAGCTTCAGATGAGTCACAGAGCTTTTGAAAGTGAATGTGAGACCAGATGTCTCATGCAGCCATCTGCTTTCATAGTCACGAGCAGTCATAGGGTCACTGTTTGGGATTACAAGTAGCTGGAAGCCACTGAAAAAATGAACTCCAGGTGATGGACCTACTGCAAGCAGGAACCCACCTGGTGAGGATCCTTCTCTGTAGAACTGCTGTGAACTAGAAGTCTGAAAGGGGTACTATAAACATTTTCTAGGAAGGATATAGAGAAGAGGGCTAAAAGGTTTTATAGTTTTTATTTTATTCTGTTAATTGAAACTTCTAGAAAATAAGAGTAATTGAAAACATTTCTGCAGAATGGAGTTTTCATAGTGGGATGATGGGAGGCAATACTGGGCTGAAGCACTAGATAAATCCCAACTCAAGGCAGGTAATCTCTTGTACCAGAAAACCAGGAAATTTAAATATCTGCTTAGTGGTTTCATGGTTAGTCTCATGGCAGAAGCAAATTCCCAAGATACAGACAGAAGTGGACAAGAATCTTGTGGATGAGGGAGATGCAGTGGGGTGGGGAAGGAGAGCAGAAAAACCCATGGGTTTGGAAGAGAAAAGGAAGACTAAACACAAGAGACTGTAATGTTGTGTAACAAGCTAGGAGCAAATCTTCGTGGTTTGCGTATTGTCATAAACAGAAGCAATGGAAAGGTCTGAGTGTGAAGGTATTAGACTACAGCCTCTCACACTCCTCCCTTTGAATCCAAACCCCTGCTTCCACATCATCCTTGACCCAAAATGCTAGCAGTTTGAAGACTTCAGGAATGCTATTTCGTGGCCACTGAAGCAGTACTACCTGTCTCCTTATGAATTCTCACAGCATAACTAATCCTGTTTTTCTTGAGAATCAGCTCTATGGCTGCCATAAATGCACTGTTACCAAATATTCCTAAGAAAAATAATTGATAAAGAGAGATTTAGAAGTAACAGAATAAAACAGCAGTGTTCATAACATATTTAAGGATATTCTGGTTTATGAAAAAAAAGAATCCGACCCTTGAAAATTAAGGCATATGAAGATAATGCATTACAAAGCCAGATGGCAAAAGAGTTTGATTACAGTGAGTGAAAGCTTAAAGCCTAACTTTATCTTTGAAACCAGCTCTCCTGGAAGCTTAGTGAAGGTGAAAGGGCTTGAGCTTTTTCAGTCCAAACATATTTATGATGGCAAAAGTGCTTCCAAAAGTGAAATACCAGCCCTTTGTACAAATTGCATAAATCACGAAAAGTTGCTCTGATCCATTTCCAGTTTTGTAAAACAATTCTGCTCTGGCAGGAGATCAGTTATTCTCAAAATATTCCATCAGAAAAGGACTCTTTGTGGAAGTTGTGAGGGAGTGGGAAGGGAGGGTTAGGTCTAAATCAAACATTCCATAAACTCTTAACTATTGAGTCACTTAAATGACTTTTCAGCACCCTGAAATCCTAGAATTCCTGAACTCTTTAAGATCAACTTCTGAGTATGAGAATTATGTCAGGATTTTGTGATATAACCCATGGGATATTACTGCAGCAGGCTACAGAGTTGTCTGATGCTTCACATCTTCGAAATGCATTATTGTCATCAAAATTGGTGTATCTCTGACTTTTTGAAGATCTATGACCTTAAAATCATTTACTGGCCACAAAAATTACTCAACATTTTCAGTAATATCTTTGTGGTTAAAAGAAGATGAACAGGTGAAAAAGAAGATAAAAAGAAATGGGAAGGAAAATCACAATACCATATGGCCCAGAATGCAAACGAAATATCTGTGATACCATCTCACTGGTAAAGAGTGCTCGAAGTACTTATTTATGACACTGAAATGGATCAGACTGACAAGCTTCCTAATGCCTGTTCGGCAGCCTTAGCAAGTGAGATGCAGGTTTTATTATAAATTCTGGTAGAACAATTTGGAAATTAATAAAAATGAAGAGAAATAAGGTTAGAAGGCTGGGAGGCTTGGAAGATCTTGCCTATTTCTTGGTATGCACCAAACTGATTCTTCAAAAGCACAGAGATTTTATCTTTCCTGTGCACTGTAAGACACTTCAAAAAAGCTAGCTCTCTGTCTGCCAGCATACTCCTAGATCCTGTCAAACATAATAACAGGTTAAAGCTTATCAGTAATGGCAGAATTGTCATGTATTTCAAAGATACGTGATGTTACTAACGTAGAAAATAATACAATTTTAATGAAACTAACTTCACTTTGAAAACTTTAAATAAAATTAAACTATTCTAATAAAAAAGGAGGTTGAGTGATTGCTGAGTTACAAGCTCAGGCGTATTCAACTCCTTTGGCCTCAGTGGGTTTTCAGCAAGGGCATGTGACCATCTTTGTCCCATCATTAGTAGCAGTGTCAAGGGCTACTTGACATAACAAACTCATACAACTATACAAAAGCAACATCTGCAGCTTATTAGAGTCATACAGTAGTAGTATGTTTCAGTATTAAATAAGAAATTAATCCTCAGGGGTCTAATAGATCATCAAAACTGCCGTTCACGTTTACTCTATTTGAGGAAAAATTTATCTTCAGTTCATCAAACCTTTTTTCTGTTATAAGTTGAAACAAATTTATACAGACTGATTAGTAAAAACAGTAGGAGAAATTATGAATTGAATATTTGGAAAATTTTCCCTCAGAGATTAAAAAAATCATTATATTTTTAAAGGTGAATGAAATATCAATACAGTTGTTAAAATCATCTCCAAAAAGCGGTCTTAAAAACTGCTTACATCTCTATTCCAAGTCAGCTATTCAGCTTCTGTTTAATTTAATGAGCATTTTCTTTTCATTTTAAAGATTTTACTTCCAAAAAGAGAGATTAGCTATAACTATGACATTAAAATGGTCAGAATTCAAAGATTTGAACTTGCCATTTCTTTTATGATGACAATATTGCTTTCAACATAGGACAACTGAAAGAAGTGATTGAAACATGTTAGCTAAGTCTTGTTCTGGAGATGTTTTAAGATTCAGTGATGCACCACTGCAAGTAAGGAAAGAAAGAGAACTGAATAAAATTTTTTAAAAAACAATGCATGGGAAAAAGGAATTGCTTAAACATCTGAAATGACACCCACAGAGGAAAATGCCTCCTCTTCAATGATGTAGAATCTAGGTCCCAAACATAAAACTCTGCATTGTTGTGTCCTGTCCTGTTGCTGACAGTGCTACCCCAAGTATGTTAAGGAAAGCGTGCCAAGGAGACAACTCTTCTTCTTCCCCCCTTCCCTCCGTCCCCCTGTAATCTAGTCAGATATTGGCAGACATGAAGGAATGATGTCCTCATTTCCTAGTGCCTTTTGATTAATTTCTCAGGAAGATTGTTTCTCCACATGGAGAATATGGCTATATGTAACCATCCTTTTTAAAAAAATGAAAGCACCGTGTGCAAGTTATGTGGCAGGAAATTCTGCCATCAGGCAATAGAGGAGGTAGCGGGGAGTGAAAAGTTGTACAAGATTACAGGCTGTGGACTTTGCTGTCAGGCACAATGCAAAATTCACATTTCAAGAATAACCAGATTTAAAAAAACATGCAGTTGAAATGAGGCAATTAAGAACATTAATCTAAACACTGCAGTACAGTTTTATGAATTTAACATGGAAGGCAGATGACATCTCCCTCTGCTCCCCTGCCACTTACATACTGGGGCTGTAAACATGTCCAACAAGAGGGTTACAGAGACCCCACCATATGCTGTGGTATATTTCTTCTTTAGTTAGCCCTGCAATTCCATTCTGTCTTCCGAATAAATTTGTTCTGCTTTACTTCATGCCCCTCTTGCAAAGCAAATGGAAATCAGAGGGAGGAAACGAGGTCTGCATACACAAAGGAGCACCGGTGGAAACCCTTATCTCCTTCAGTTTTGTGTACTGCGTGTTTTACCTCTGTCTTCTGTGGACACACGCTGCAAGTTGTGGCAAACTGAACTGCAAATATAACTTCTTAACTAAACTTTAATGAAAAAACTCAAACCAAATCAAACTAAAACACCAAGCTGCTGCTAACTTAGGCTCTAGAAGAAAAACAAGTGATCAGTCAGCCCTGCAACACCTAAAGCATGCAGCTCGTATGTCACAGTTACAGAGACAAAGAGTAGCAGGAAGCCCTGGCGACCTGAACAAAGGCATGCATGGATGGAGGCAGGGATGAGAGGTGCCAGACAGCTATTATTTTCTTTGGGCTTGGCAAAGTAAAGCAAAGACTGTCTGGATGAAGAAGAGCCCACCGCTGTGTTCTTGGGAGTGTGCTTCTCCCTTCCTCTTGATCTTTCCTCTGTCCAGCCAAGTTTTCCATCTGGTGACATACAGAGGCAGGATGGTATTTTTCCTGAAAACAACTAAATGATATTATTTCATATTAATTTTAAAAAGCAACAGTATCCTATACAAGTCTGTGAAATGTAGCGTTGAACAGTACTGCTCTCTTTGTATGGAGAGATCAACTGTTTTTAGTAACACGTTGTTTTGTTTCTTTCTCAGTTCTCTACAGGCATTCGATTTTCTGTTCAGCATTTTGAAAATGCAGATTTCAGCATCCATTTTGAGCTGCAAATAAAAAGGTTAGATATGTTATCAAGAGTATGATTATTTAAGTTCTGAATTCCTGTTGATATCTGAAGTTTAATATATAAGAAGGTCACTCTAACTCTTCAGTGTCAGTAGTTATTTCATGGGCATTTCTATGGTAGCTTTTTACAGGAGGATTTGTGGAGCTGGAGCCTTGGTAGCTTTTAACAAAATCAATCTTAGGGTTATTCTGAGGATTTTATCTTGTTACAATTCAGGTTTTGAAGATCTGGTCAGTGATTTTGGTCAGTGATCCAAGGATCTTGTGTAGATTTGCCAAATTAGCACTTCATTTTCCACTTCAGGATTAATGAACAGTGATCACTTTGTAACAAAGTCCTGTGTTTAAAAACATGTCATCTTCTGAAAACAAAAAGGCATGCCACTTCTTCGTGACAATTTATAAAATAGAAGGAGAGCCATCAAAATCTTCTCAACAGATTTACTGGCATGAAGAGAGAAAACTGTTTCAGTTTGATGCAGGTGAACGTTTGTTGTTTTTCCATTAGTTTCCTCCACATTTGTGGGGCCGAAGTATCACTGCTGGAGAATCTTCTCTTTTATGCTGAGCAATATTTCCTCCACAGGGACAAAAAAGCACAGGACAGATTGGATTAGGATAACAGCAAGAACAAACCTGGGACTTTTTCAGTAGGTGGTAGGGCTTCTGCCCCATCTGTCCACATCAGATACACACTGGAATTCCTGATGGGGCCCTCTCTGCCCCATACAGAGAAACTTAAGTGCTAATGTCTGGCCTTTAATGAGGACCTTGAGCATGTTCACTGTGATAAATAACTGAGACATTTGAAATGTTTAAGTCATGTTTCAATAATGTAACCTGTGAAGGAAAGGACATGCAGAAACTCGGGAAGGGCACAGCAATGCCACAGAAGAAGATGATGTGCCTGGGCAGGCTTCAGCCCTCTCCCAGGCATCTGGCTCATGAGCTGGAGACCGTGCAAACCTGGGCATGGGCTCCTCCTGAGAGAGATACAACATCTAGCTTGTAAGTCCCCTGTCCGTAGCACTGTTCACCATACGGTCATTAATGCAAGCAATACAGTTTTAAATGGGTATCAAAGGCTCTGGTCACTATCCTTTTCATGCTGTGAAATTGGGGAGGTTCAGAGCTTTTGGGGTAGCTAGATCTTTCTAGGTAATAAGAGTTGAGAGTAGGTCACTTTCATAGAAAAAGCAACAGGGCTTTACCAAGGAATAAGTCTGAATTTCAGGAGATAGCAACATCTCGTGCTTCCTCCATGAGTGTGACTCACTAAAATGTAAAGAGAGGAAATCTGTTGGGCTACCGAAAAGGAAAGTTTCCACAAACTGTTACAAAAATGCTGAAGAGCACCTAGCTACTTTAAAAAAAAAAAAAAAAAAAAAAAACAACTTCTTGCATAGGAAATGTACCCTTTGGTTAAAACTCACTGTTTGGTACATTCATTCTCAAGCAACAGTACAGTTTGCGCATTTGTATGCCCTTAGTGAACAGGTAAAACAATCTTAAAAGAAAAAGGAAACAAATCCATAAGGCAGAAAGAGGAAATTGCCTAAATGGAAGGAAAGAGAAGCAGAGAACCTGTCTGAATTTGTGTCCTGGTCTGAGTTATTCAAAACTCCAATGTTGATTTACTCCAAAACATCAAATGGAAAATAAATATTTTTGTTTGCAAGACTGAAGTTCACTACTCATAGGAAATAATCAAGAGGTTGAATAGTGTCTTGAAATCTGATTCCTTTTCTGATGTGGATTTTGCTAGGCGATTATATATCCCTTAGAGAGGGAGACATCCTGGCACTTTTATTTTAACTATTTTCCTCTCTACAACATACCATAAGTCACAAACAAGATTTGAATACCAAATATATACAATCAAAATATGTATTTTAGTTCTATGGAAAGTAGTACCATTATACGAATCGGAGAGCAGCTTATTCTAACAAATTAGTGGTGTCGTCATATTTATACTTGAAGCAATTTTTGTACTCAAAGCAATGGCTATAGAGGATTACATCAAAAGTTCAAATGATGTTTGAGGGGAATCTGCATTAGTTTACAAACAAATTAGAGCTGCTCCTAATTTTAGCAATCTGTAACCAGAAAGCCTGGATCAAAGCAGTATTGCCCTTTACCACTGAGGAGTCAGTTGCTGGGAATGCTGGCCTCCTCTGAAAGTTTCCATTTGACTGATGCTACCCAGATGTGATAACAGTAAACTGTGACAGTAATAGAAACTTAGTCTCCATGAAGCAAGGGAGTACTTCCACACTTTCTTGAGAAAACTTCCAAATTTAGTATCATTAATCCCATAATTAAATAAATTCTAAGTCTGCAATTATTTATTTTCACTGTCTTCATGAATTTGAACCTGCAAACCTTCCTTTACATGAATGGACTATAGTCATAGGAATGGCCTTCTGAAGTGAGAAGCTACCTTCATTACTAAGGATTTGCAATAAGAAAAGACAATAAAATGAGTGAGAGCACTAAGCTTTAAACATAGGGATCTCTTTTCACTGCTAAATGGGATTGAGTGTAAACACACTCTGGATAAGGGAGGGGAGAAAATAGGAAAAGTAAAGAAACAGCTTATTTTTGTTCTTTTTCTTCGAAGAAAGATCTGTCATGCAGAAGTCACAAGTTTGGAGATTCATAAAAACAAATTTTATTATAACAAAACCTATCTTGTACATTCCTCCAATGCACAAAACACCCTTATATTCTATTAAGACAATCCTATCCATACAGATGATCAAGTTGAACAAGGGAGTTCACATGATATTCTGAGCTGAATAAATTTGTATCGTCATATTCACACATAGGATTCTTTAAAGGAAGCTTGAGTTGATTGTATTATTAAACATGTGATAAACTCAAATAATATCAGACTTAAATACCAGTGTCCTATAAGGCTGAAGAGTGGCAATAGCAAGCCCATGCTGCAGTATGTCCAATGGCATTGCTTCGTAATTGTAGGCCTTGTGGTATTCAGCGCTGTATGTATAACAATCTAGAATTCTGCTAAATAACCTTTTTTAACCCTTGTACCTTTCTTTTCTAGTTCTAACAAGATTAATCCCATCAGCAATTTAGTTAACCTCCATATCAACATCAGTGCTGTGGCTCAAGTACAGATCAGAGGGTAAGTATTCGACCCTTTCAATTTATAATGATAACTATTTTCGTATTGAATCTTTCCACATATAATAATCCCATGTAGTGAATCTTTTGACATATTATAATCCCAAATGTTTTATCCACCAAGAACACTTGAGAATTCCCAGGGAGTCTCACCCCTGCAAGCCTTGCAGGATGCAGCTACTAAGGACTTACAGGATCAAGTAGGGCAAGACTGCCCACATGGATTCCAGTAAATTTACTGAGCATCTGTGCAAATGCAGCACACTGTAGAATCCCACATTGTAGTAATACCAGTCAGAGACACATTTTATTTGGGCATTCAAATTGTGTATGGATGTTACTAGTACAAAATGCCTGTTCATATGCGTAACCTTCAGTGCAACCACGGAGGCACTTAATTCTGAATACCAAAGCAGAATCAGCTGCTTTTATGACTGGAATGATGAAACACATTATGGCAAGGCATATAGTAATAGAAGGCACAGTGACGCCTTTGGAGAAAGGATGAATAAGTAATGAGCCATGACAAGAAGTCAACCAGCTACTACTGTAGTATTCTTACATTTCCATTTTGAAGCAGGTGCCTGTCCATTGACACAAGGGATACCAAAACTAAACAAGCACAGGATATGATCAAAGATTATTATTTCTATCTCTATTTTCACATACAGCTTGGTTTTGGAAACTGTAAAGTGCAATTAGGTGATAAGAATCTTAGACTACCCTGTAAAATCTTGGAATTGCTCTTATCCTGGCATCTTGGAGGAAGTTGGCAGAATATTCTTTTAAAGCAAATAATTGCTCAAAATGCTTTTTGTCTGGGATCTCAGATTTCCTACATCTCCTCTTCTCAAACTACAGCTCTGGACCTTAACCATTCTCAGCACTGAAGGGGAAGAAAAGGAGGTATATGGCCCAGTTTAACTTCCACAGTCAGACCATGAGACCTTGCTGATGCAAGAGGGGTGAATGTCTCTTATATGATACACCTCAAAGGGCTGCCTTAGGCGTAAAACAAAAATGCATTTATTTATGCTTTTATGGATTGATAAAAATCCATTTATTGTTATCACTTCTAAGGCAATACTTTCACTACCTAGTGCTAGCAGAGAGTCCAATCATTTTGCAGATGAAAGAGATCATGTTTTCTGCTCTAATGTTCAATCTAAATCTGGGAGATTTTAACAGTCTGTTTCATCACATTTTGTAAGTGTTTTCCAGGTTAAGAAGACTAACTCTAAGGCTAGAGTTAGGTGGAAAAAAGAGGACTGACACTCAAAAACTGTGTGGATATGCGTTAATGCTTATATTTCTGAAAAGGAGCAGTTGAAAGACAATATGTTTAACGAGAACAGAAATGAGAGTATTATTTCATTTTCTGTAGCTAATGGTGATCTAGGGAAATGAGCTGGGTAAGAAGAGAGGTGAAAAATACAGAATGAGGGGGAAGGTAACACAGAAGGAGGAGTAGAGACTGAGGAAATAAGAATCAAAGGAGTTATTGGTGGGCTGCAGATGTGTGAGGAAATGTTGGGAGTCAGCAATGGCTAGGCATTGCCATGGGTGGACACCCAGCTTAAGGACTGGCTGGAGTTTCAGTGCGTCAATGAAATTGTTATGGATACATACACGAGACTTTGCAGTAAGGGCTGCTTCCAGCGCAGTGGATTCTGTTTCTTTCGGTGAGGTTGCTCAACACTTTCATAGAAAAATCGTACAAACTTTTTTGTATTCTTTGCAAACTTTTTGGAAACTTTTTGCCCCTATCATATCCTTTCTGTGCCATAGTGTGTTCTTTTTAATGAAAAGTTCTGTAACAGGTAAATAGATAGATTCCAAAAAATGACTGAAACATATTCGGTTCTTAAAAAGAGCATGCCCACAAGTGGAAAAAGTGGCTTGAATTGCTGCCTGCAGTGCTAAGAAACAGATCATTAAATACAGAGGAATCACTTAATTGAATGAATTCCAGTTCCTTTCCTCTTAAGTCTTTTAATTTTCTTATTAGCTATAGCATGCATGTACAAAGGAAAATTCCCAAAAGCTTTGTTGACAAATTTTGCTAATTACTCAGAGATGCTAAAGCATATAGCTCCAAGGGAACTATTTGCTCACAATTTCCTAGATAAAAATAAAAGAGAGATTGTGTCCACATTTGGACTGGAAAATATCTTACATTGGTTTCCCTACTGCTCTGCACAGAGTTGCATGAAGTGAGACTGGAATAATTGTACATTTTACAGAGGAAAACTAAGATGTTGTCAAATTGTGTGTATGCATACATGCATGTATACTTGCACAGTGGACCCGTGCACATACTGCCTCTATCAGAAAGGAAAAAATCTTCAATATCCAATTCAAAACAAATTTGAGATAACTCCTTAGATAGTTCATTCAATGAGTGGTTGCTCTGATAACTGAGATTTGAGTATTCTGCTTACCTTTTTTTTCTATAAAAATGTAAGAAATTTATAGTTGCAATTGTTATTTCCCACTGCTGAAAGAGCACTAGAGGAATGAGGGATTCAAGAAGGAAGTAATTTGGACTGGGAGGATTTACAGCTGGCAGAATTCTTATTGTATATCCCACATAAGCGTTTTCTGTAGAACATAATTTCTTTATCTTATTTTTCAGTGCTTTTGTTTGACTGGTGATCATTGTCACCTGAAAATCTAGGAAAAATTCTCATCTAATAAAGCATTGAAATATTAAAAATATTCTCAGTTAAATGCAGAATAAAATAGTCAAAAGAGAGAGTTTCTATCTAATTTGACCTGAGTGCTACTTTCACGTCAATAGCAGAAGTCCTCAAAATAACTGTAAAATCTGTTAAAATGAATGTTATTATATACTTTAGAATAATTTTCATTGAATGTCTACATTTACACTTTGCACTTGGTAGTTCTGTGGATAAGAAGAACACTGCACAGGGAATGTAATGGAAAACACTCATTTTTGAAACCTCATGTCTATTTCTTTTTGTCTAAGTACAGTTTCTGGTTTGCAGATTTTTGCAGTAGCTTAAGTGTGTCTGTGTCTTGGCTTTTGTAACAACACAGTGAAGTTCTTATTCTCCAACAGCAATTAACAATTAAAAATCTTATTGGCCATTTGTGAAATATGAAAAGTTAGGCTAAGCACCTCATCTGAAATTACTTTGTAATGAATATGTTTCATTTCCCTTATTATTTGGTTTGGCTTGTAAATTTGTCCTCTGGCGTACTGGTTAGTACAAACTGCTGGCCTTTTGAAGTCTGGGGAACTATCTAGAGTTAGCAGGATACTCCAGGGCACCCTAAATTTCATGAAGAGTTGTACTTTAGCTGGCTGGTAATATGTTGCTCTTCTCTGGGATCTCTTGCTGCTTTGAGAAGCTGTGTTCTGTAGAAAAGTTTCTATCAGACATTTCATTCATTGTATATAACATAAGAGCTGGAAACAAGAACGGTTTGTTTCCTTCTAAAGTATTTTAAAATGTCAGCATCTGCAACAAAAGCATCCAGTCTTCTGTTCTCCTCTTCAAGGGGCAATCTGCAGTGGTGCTTTCTCTGTTTAGACTCAAGGGAAGGTGAATTAACATCGGTGGAGAGAAGTCCATCGTTTTAGTTCAATGTTACATTCTGAAAAAAAACTTATTAGCAATTCTTTTTTAACAGTTTTCTGTCAGCAAAGTTGCAGCTTTGGCAGAACAAGCATTGACATTTTATGGCTTTTCTTTAAGCTAAAGATTCTGGAAACCAGCAAAACTGAGTGAGAGTTGACCCTTGTAAAGAAAGGGCAATACTTACCATTTTAGCACCAAGAGCTACTTTCACTACTAGCGGATGACAGATATCTGTGCCAGAACTCACCTACAATGCTAAAAGAAATTCTTGGTATCTGATTTCCCAACTTCTCAACAACTGAATAAGGCTAAAGTTGGAGTCTGAATGGTGCCCCTCCAAGGAACTTCCTGTTTTTATCAGAAATAAAATGTTTGCGATTTGAATAGAAACATTTACAGAAGACTACTTGGTCCTTTCTTCGGGTCAGAGAGAGAAGGAAAGGAAAAATAAAACAGCAGATGGAAAGAAAGATGTCGAATATAAGTCACTGTTTTCTTCATTTATGTTTGATTTACATGTTGCAAGATACAACAGTGTTTCAGGGAATGCCTTAGCTGCCACTTCGTTTGCAAAACAAATGGCAAGCCTGGAGCGCTATTTCAGCCTCTAGTCCCAAATTCAGTTTCTTGATACACCAGTTTCCATTGTGACTTTATGGAAGTCACAGTACCTCAGTTTCCCTCCTGTAAAATGAGATAGACTACTTTGCAAGTTTTTTTAAAGGAATAATAACAGAGGTTATAAGGAATTTACAGTCATAGCAGTTAAATAAATATCTAAAAATGTATTGCAGGGAAAGAAGATTTATAACATTAAACATCTACAGGCTTTAAATGGAAATTAGAAAATACGTTTATTTACGTATCATGGCTTAGTTTTGTGGATACCTCATCAGTACGAATGATGTGAACGCCTGACGTTGCATTCCTCTCTGCAAATAGAGAGTCACTCTCTTGTCTGGAAAGGACCATCCATCAGAGGATGGTTCAGCTCACCTAATTCTAATGAGTATGCCCAAATAAAATGGCCTTAAGGGGTCAGGTTTCTATAATGGTCCTTATTTTTTACTAAAAGTAATGCAGCTGATCGCTGGTAACAGTTACTGTTTTAACCTATTTTATATATTACAGGGTGTCTCACCCCCCAACGATTATTTTGCCACTTCACAACTGGGAAGTCAAAGATGAACCTACAAAAGAAGAAGAGCTTGGTCCTTTAGTCGAACACATCTATGAGGTAAAAATGATATATGTTGCCACAGGACCTCATGATGTTTCCATTAAAATCCCGATGAATTTGGTTCATTGTCTTTATCTAATGGTTTTAAACTGAAAGAGGGTAGATTTAGATTAGATATAAGGAAGAAATTTTTCACTCTGAGGGTGGTGAGGCACTGGAACATGTTGCCCAGAGAAGTCGTAGATGTCCCGTCTCTGGAAGTGTTCAAGGCCAAGTTGGGTGAGACGTTAAGCAGCCTGGTGTAGTGGACGGTGTCCCTACCCATAGCAGGGGGATTGGAACTAGATGATCTTTGAGGTCCCTTCCAACCCAAACCATTCTATGATTCTATGATTCTATGACCTGCAGCTAGATAAAGCCACAAGTGTAAATATTCTGACTTTAGCACGACTCAGATTTAATCTGGTAATTCACAACCCTAGTATCTGTTCATGTCAGTGGAGGAAATACTAGTTTATACTAGGAGTCTGTCTTTGACATTTAAGGGATCTATAAACATTTTGGAGTTTTGACAAGAGTTAGAAACAGTGCTTAAAAGCTCAGTACAATCAATGTCAAATATTTTCAGTGATTTGACTAGTTTCTCATTAAAAGCTGTGAGTGTTGTGCACAGGAAAAAATATATTTAACATTTAGCTGACTGAAAAAAAAAACAAGACATACACGTAACTTGTTACCTCATTACTCAGAAAATGTTCTGTTTCTGCCTTGTGTTGTTGTTGGGTTTTTTCTATGGATGATTCATCAATTAAAAGAGAAGAGTTCAGGTTAGAAAAAAGTGCACTGAGTGAACTGCATGGAATACAGGCCATCTTTGGATTCTGATGGATGACCTGTATTCTAGCGGGTAAAACAGAGTGCTTCACATATGGTTATAATTCACAAACTAGCACTCAAGAAAATATAAGCAACTGAACTTAATCAGCAGTGTAAGATTACAATTTGCATGAGTAATACTAAACTGTCATGAATCAGACTGTAAAATACAAAATATTATTTGTGAATTCCTCATCTTAACACAGTTCACTAAACTGAAAAAACTAACAAATCTTCCTGTCTCAAGCATCTTAACACAGTTCACTAAACTGAAAAAACATTTGAGCTGCTTGTGGAACTATATATATGTCACTTCGAGTGTATTAAAATAGTTACAGTTATTAGTTACACTGATTAAAGAAACTGCTTTCATGGTTGATTGATATCAGCAAAGCATAAAAAAGGCCAAACATCCACCCAAAACCCCTTTACTGAAGAAGATGTAAGATTGCAAGTGGGTTTTATTTGGTTCTAAGTAAAGCTCATCAGTCACAAAAAATCTACACATTTAAAAAAGGAGGTTCTCACATCTCCAGAAACTTTGAGTAAAGCTTTATGTTGTTCTGCTTCTTTAGCTCTCATGCCCAGTGTTAACACATATCCAAATTTCCTGTGGTCATCAGATATTTTCAAATTGTAAACTCATATAAGAACACTATTTTATAGCCCAGATTTTTTAATATCTATTATTTCTATCTTTATTCATTTTCCCAGAAAAGAGTAATGTCTTGGGATGTTACTTTAGGAAAACTAGTTCCTTTTTTTCTTTTGGGCAAATTTGAACTGAGAAGTTCTTAACCACAAAAACTATTTTAAGCCCTGCTATATCTTTTGTGTCCTGAAGTTTCAGCTACTCTTTGCAAGTATGTTCTGTCAAGTATGTTCTGTTCATTGTATATATTTGTGTAATGTATTTTGCTACTGTGTTTTGATTTGAGTTTTTATAAATGTTTAGGTAATTTCAGCTGTTTCATATGTAGGAAATGATGGGAAACGTGATGGATTTCTTGAATATAGACTCAGACAAAAAAGTTGTTAGCTCAGATTTGTCACTGGCTTTGTGACTAATGAGAAGTCCTTTTGCTCTACCTAGCACAGATTCTCCATCAATAAAATGATATTAATAATCTATACATCTTTCCCAGAGTACTTCAAGACTGTGGACACTAAGAATTTGAAGATGTGAAAGTTATGATTGCTGTGTTTTTGTTGTTATTTACTGCCTTGGAAAGTACTGACAATATTTGTTTGACAGCTGCACAATATAGGACCAAGTGCCATCAACAATACAGTTCTCCATGTCAGTTGGCCTGTGTCCAGTCGAGAAGAATTTCTTCTTTATATTCTTCATATCCAGACACATGGACCATTGCACTGTCAAACGAGCTCTCCTATTAATACAATGCAAATAAAGGTGAGTCAGCCCCTTTTATTTCCATTCCTGTCTGCATTTTGCTTGATTTTTTTCTGCCTACGCTTTGCAACGGGATAGAGCTTTTGGGGAATTTTTCACAATGACTCTGAGATCATTTTCTTGCTTAAGAAGCAGGATGTAGATAATCTATAATGTTTATGGTGTGACACCTGTCCTGCATGTTATGCGTTTGGTTTCTGTACTTTTCTTATTAGAAGAAACTTGTATTTTGAGATAGTACTGTAGCATTAGATACAAGACAATTTTTTAAATGGAAATTTGCAGGGTTTTCCTTGAGTGTCATTTTTAACATGGCTTTGCATAGATGACACAAAATTTTTCACTTCTCGTGGGATCGTGAAAATTCTTGTATCCTAAGGAGTACAGTAATTCAGAAAGTCATCTGTACAGCAGTCCTGAGCAGATGAAGTCCCAAAGGTGGTGTAAACATTCGTTATGGCAAGGGATTCACATAGCTCTTCAGTTGAGTCTGATACAACCTAGCTATGGTTTGTTTATCAAAAGGTCTTACATCTGAACCTGTTAGCAGTGGGGAAAATCCTTTATAGCACAATAATGCAGTATCGTTAAATTGAAAGACATGAATTTCTCGGAGCTGTTTATTTAATAGACAGCAGACAGACACCAGGTATTGTAGCATTAAGTATTTTTAAAGGATGTAACACAATTTTTATTTTTTATTCCAATAAAAATCATAGAATCATAGAATCATA